GCTGCCTTTTGTTGTTTGCGCCCAATAGGCAAATAAAGAAAGAAAATTTGGCTATTACGACAAGGCGCTGATTGAGGTACTGTTTCTTGCGGTTGTTTTTTGCGGTGGTGATGGGGTAGGTGATTGGGGAAATACTGGGCACAAGGTGTGACTTGAAATCCTGAACTGCGTTTTCAGAATGTCCGGATGGTTGTCGCCCTGAGCTATAACAATTTCCTATATTGAAGAATAGTTATTTTTTATTTTTTTGTGCCTGCGACGTCTTTATGCTGAACTGAAGTTTCTTTTCTTATTCGCGGGTGTCGATAGGACAGTTTAAAATATGTTTGTTGTTTTTGGGCATGTAGGATGTCTGGTGACTGTGCTTTTTTTGGGGGGGGTTTACATGAGGGGAATGGGGATTGAGCAGCGTGGGATATGTGGTGAGTGCCGCAGGCTTGTTGGTCCGCGATTTGGGTGCCCTCCAAAATTCATGACATTTTGTGCTCCTCAACGAACACTTTTATTCTTTGTGGAATCATGTGCTATTACAAATGACACCCTGGACTGTTGTGTTTCGCCATCCTTTTTTTTTTTTTTTTTACGGGATGTATGAGAGCTTTGCATGTTGCGGCGAGAACTGCATTTGTTACTGTGCCATTGGTCTTTTTTTTTTCCTTTTGTTTTTATTCTTAGCCATTTTTTACTTTTGTTGCTTATTTTATTTCTGGTCATTTTGAGACTCCTGCGTGCTCCGTGCCTCCACTTCACTCACCAAATGGAGGTGCGTGACCATTGCGCTGGAAGGAGTCTTTTTTTTTGTTCAAATTCACACAGAACCATCATTGGGCACATTTCTCTTTTATACTTCTTTTGTTTTCTTTCAGAAGATGCTCCCTTGGCTTTGCCTCCAACGGGATATGCGCGGAGTTACACGCGCTTTAAAAACCGAAGCCACGAGCCTTTTTTGGAAAGGGTGATTTCTCTTTTTCAAAATTAAATTTGTTGTCCATGTTGATGTTTTTGGTGGCGGGAGGGTGGAGCCCCTACTTGGTGACGATCCCGCGCATGGTTTTGGTGTTGGCCCGACCAGGGCGGAATATATCCGCTGCGTCGGGGAAAGGCTTCTGGTGGACCCAACGACACGGCGGCTGGGGGGAAATAACGGGACGGACGTTATCCCGTTGATGGTGGTCCCGCTGATGCTCGATCCGATGGACTTTCGGAGGATGATGTGCAACATCAATGTGCCAATCCGGCTGTTGGTTTTGGTGCAGAACGGGCGGGAGGCGATGCTGTCGTTGTGCCTGCAGGAACTCGAGAGGGTCTATGGGTGGTCCGGACGCCTGGTTGTGAGTCGTCACCCGTAAAACATCGGGTACAGCGCTGCCGTGAACATCGGGTTACGACTTGCACTCTCGCTGCCGCGCGAGGAAGTGCCTTTTGTTTTTGTGACAAACAGCGACGTAATTTTTTTACCCGATCTTCTTCCCAACCTTCTGCGCGATGTGCATGAAATGGCGAGGCATGATGCCGCTCGCATGGATGAGTTGGCGGCGGAGGTGGCGAATGAGCCGAGCGAGTACAGTCCTGTTTTGCGACGGGGCTTGAGGGTGCTGCGCTCCACGGTGAAAGATAACCGATTGTCGACGTCTGCGCTGCTGCCTGACCGCATCCGTTATGCTTCTGTGAAGGAGCGTGAAAAGGCGTTTTCGAAGCATTACGGGCACTTCTGCGCGTATTACAAAAGCAGTTGTTTTACATCTGTTATGTTGGCACGCCTGGCGGTCAGCACGGTGGGATATTTTGACGAGAACTTCTACCCAGCTTACGTGGAGGATGTCGACTACAGCTTACGCCTCCGTTTGCTTGGATTTCAGGAGCGAAATGTCTTCTACGGCAAATTTGTGCATCGCGGCAGCTCGAGTATTCGTCTCTCTAATGAGGTGGAGCCACCGGACGCTCTCTGGTGCCGTCGCGTCAGGTCTTTGAGTGCGAACGATGCATATGCCACGATGAAGTGGAACCGTCTACGGGCGTGCTGTGGCGGGTACAAGGAGCCATGTGACGGCATGGTCCCCGCATACGTTTGGGTGAAGGATGAGGCACGCATACAACGCCTTCGGGCCCACGGGCATGATGAGGAGCAAGGGGTCCCAAGGGTTGAGTACGACAGGACACTTTTGTACCCTGTGAGGACGAAAGGAAGATGAACTGGCGCCAGTCACAATTTTCTTGTTTTTATTATTTTATTTTATTTTATTTTTTAACTATTAAAAGTTTTTTTTTTCTTTTTATAGTTACACAAATGATATTTAAGCGAGTACGCCATGGGTTTTAAAGAGCGCAAGCATATATTTGGCATGACAGGGGGAGGGTGCAGCGTCCAAACCTGGCAGTGTTACCGAAGGTAAGAGAGGGCGGCAGCAAGCAGGAAAAATGAAGATGGTGGATGAGGGAGAAATAGAAGGGGTGGGAAGCAGAAAACAAGCCAAAAATATTATGAGCACAACGCTGTTTCTCACCGTGGGCGATCGACACCGCAATTGGCTAATAATTTACCCACTGAGGGTGACACCCGTTTCCGCTGAATATGCCGCGTGCATATCTGTCGGGCTCTTTGTTTATTCTGTTGGTTTGTTTGTCTCCCGCACATTTATTTCTCCGTGCCGCCTGACCCACTCGCTTATTATTCCCCTCTCTGTTTTTGTGCGTGCACCGAGAGAAGGGCTCGGGGACATGAAGTACGCTCCCCTTCTGTGACATGCCACCAAAAACAGGAGGAGAAAAAAAAGAAAAGCGAAGCGGGGAGGGGAACCATCGCCACGCGTCCTTTTCTCCGAGAAGGCTGCTCGCCACGCCACTGAGGCGCACCGTGTGCTTCGCGAGGCCCGCTGGACTCGATTGGGGAGCCGTGAGTGATGGTGCGTGTGAGTGTGGCGGATGCGTCTCCCAGGCGTCCCTAGAGGACCCTCTGGCCATTGGGACTGCGTGGAATGCGGGATTCCGCGGGGCTTTTTGCCCGTTTTGTTTTTATTCCTCCATCCGCCCATCCCAAACCTCAACACGGCGTCTGAGCCAACGACTGCGACGGGATCCGTTGCGTATTTCTGAATCTTTTTTGCGTTGCAGCGGCAGGCCTGGTGCGTCCTGCTTGGCAGACACGGTGGACGGGAGCGGGCTGCCGTATTGGGGAAACGATGGTCACGGCGGAGCGTGTTGCGTACGTCGCAATTTGGCGCGTTTGTGGCGATCCTTGCAGATGATGTGACGGCGCCTCTTTTACTTGCGGGGAGAGAAGCGATGCTCCACGGTGATGCGCACGTTGCGGGTGGAGGCTTCTCTTGCTGTTGGTTTGTGAATGTTTATTTTTTGCTGAAACACCACAGAGGGTGGTGTCTGCGGACAGCAGAGCATTGCGAGGAGGGGCATCGCACGATTTTTGGCGCGATGAGGCGGTTTTTGTGAATCTACGGTGTTTTATTTTCAGGGTTGAGAGACTATTCTTTGTTGGAATGTATTGTGGGAGACCATCCGTGTGTTTGTTTTTCTTAATTAATCCCTTGGCATTTGGTGTCTGCCGTGAAACAGATGTTGATGGCCGTTTTATGGCGGCGAGATGCATTTTTATTTATTTTATTGGCGAGTGTGTGAGTTGTCTTGCGTTCTGCCATGCGGCTTGTTGCTGACGGCACGTTGCCGCAGTGAGACGTTGTGGGCGCCTCCGACACGAGGTGCGATTGAGCAGTCACCTCCTCCGCTCGCCGGTACACGCTGTTGAGGCGGCGTGATGATAATGAATCGGCCTCTCAGAAAGGTAACAAGAGGACGTTTGCTGTTCCTGCTGCGGTTCACGAGTGAACTCCCAATCTGTGGGCGGGGTCGCTCTGCGTGCCGTATTTCTTTGAATCTTGATGGGTTTTGCACATTGCCATCCACACGCACATGCACACAATCTCCCTGTTTGCCCTCCTGTGGGCGGGAGACCGGGATGCAAAGGGAAAATGTGGCCCGTGCCAGCATTTGACAAAGTCTTTCTTGGGAGGGATTGCGACTGTGATGTACGTCCTGGCAGGCAGGAATGGGATGAGAGGAGAGCGGAGGGCGAGTAACAACGATTCTGCGCGGGGCAATGCGCAGTGACCAGGGCGAAGTGGTACTTATGTTGACTTTTCAAAACATTTTTGTCTTTTTTTTTGTGGCAATGGAAAGAAACTTTGGGTGGTGTGCTATGGATTATTTGCACATAATTCAGAGCGGCAACACCATTCGCGGAGAAAATGAATGACATCTGCGTGAGGCTTGTTTTTTGAGCGCGAGATGGTCGGGGAGGCGTTCAACGCCCCGAGAGGCCAGGAGCAAAGACGCCTGCACTGCGGCAAGCAGAGGGATGCACGCTCCTGTTGGTGGCGTTGCTGTGGAGCCCAGAAGGGCCTGCAGGGAAGTTGTTTTTTCGCCGCCTCATTATTTTGTTGATTGGTACTTGCCGCGGACTTTTGAGGCGGGACGTGGGATGCACCGAGAGAGCGAGTGTCGTGTGGCGGTGCTGTGAATTGGTGCGGTCCACGTTTGTGCACATATTTCCGTTTGTGTCCGCGTCGTTGCCGCGGCGGTGCACCGGGAGCGTGTGACTGATCAAATTATCACTTGCAGACTGTTTTGGCAGGACTTTGAATGGCGTCGCCGAATGATGAAATTCCGCGTGCATGTCCCTCTCTCTCTCTCTCTCTCTGTGTTTGTGTGTGTTGGCTTCCGCCGTGTTCCGCCGTGTTGTTGTTGTTGTTGCTGTTTTCTGTGTGCGATTGCTCTCCGTGATGTCCCTTACAGATTCTATTTTTTCCGCACCTTGCGTGAGTGATGTGCTCTGCTCCCCAGTGACGTGTCTGATGTGCTGCCGCTGTTGTTTTCTTCACCACTTCTTGAACGCAGACACGCTAGGAAAGAAGGAAAACAAGCGCGAATCGCTACTGTGAAATTCAAAGGAACAACAGCACACACACCGCCCACACACAAATATTTATATGCTCCCACGTGTTGCCGCTGTGAAGGCACCCCGCACACACAGTTGTCGCCGCGTGACCGGATCCAGCGGAAGGAGGAGGGAAGGAGGAGAGAGTGAGCCGCAGAGGCCCAACATGTCCCGGCGTGTGTTTGCTTCCGCGGTGCTGCTCCTCCTTTTTGTGCTGACGTGCGCCGCTGGGTCTGTGCAGGCCCAAAACTATGGAACAAGAGTGGACGATTCCTATGGAAGACACAGTTTGGAGCAGTCGCCAAGGGAGTATCCAGTCGCAAACACAGCGGCCGCTGGCCACATTTTCCGCAATCCCCATCTTGTGAATGTGGACGGGATGCTCCTGGCCATTGTTGGAGCTCAGTTCAATGGATCTGTGGGGAGCGGGAGTGCGTCCATGCAGTTGATGGCACGGATCAGCGTTGATGGTGGGAGGACGTGGCGGCCGTACGCGGGGCCAGAAGATCTTGACGTTTTTGCTGCACGCCTTCACCAGATGTTGTTTACCACGCCTTACAGACTCTTCGGACCGCTTTTTGCTTTTGTGGAGGGCTACGACTTACGGACTGGGGCCAGAATTCGGTTTACCGATGAGCGGGGAGGAAGTGGTGTGGAGCCTGTTATCCATTTTCTGGACACAAGGCCTAGACGAAGCGGAGGTTTTTCGATGAATTCCGTCTCTATGAGCATTCGCCTTCCTTATCCCCATAAATCCGGTGACATGATTGGCTTCCTCAACGATGCCAGTACTCCCATCACGAAAATGACGGATGGCACGCTCGTGTTTCCCGTGCAGTTTCTGACAATGGGAGGGGACACTGCGTCCACAATCATGTACATGAATCCCGGTCAACAGCACTGGACCTTTGCGAAAAGCGCGACACATGCAGGCTGCACCAACCCCAGTATCCTTGAATGGGAGGCTGGAAAAATCATCATGATCACCTCATGTAAGTACGGTCGCCGAAGGGTGTACGAGTCGACTGACAAGGGGAACACGTGGACGGAGGCTGTGGGGACGCTCTCGCGTGTGTGGAGCAACTCATTGGCAGGTCTTGGGCTCCACATTCAGAGTGGACTCATCACCGCAACTATTGGCGGAAAGAAGGTGATCCTCCTCACCCAGCTGGAATATCCCAGACACGACAGCAAGGGCGAGATTCGTCTGTGGCTAACAGACACCAACCGCATTTACCACGTTGGCCTTTTACCCACTGGGAATAGCGCAACCTCCAGCTCTCTTTTTTACGCGAATGATAAGCTGTATTGTTTGTACGAGGCCGGTGTTGGAAGCAACTCCGGAGCCTTCTTCCTGGATCTGGCTTCCGAGCTGCACTGGATAAGGCATGCGCTGGATACTTGGGCCGCGAAGGACAATGCCTTAAGACTATGCAGCTCAATTGCCTCAGGTGCCGCGCTGTCAAGAGGGAACTGTTCTGTTCCTATCCCCACGGCTGGGCTTGTGGGCCATTTGGCCGATAGGCTCCGTAGGGACAAGTGGGAGGACGAGTACCTTGGGGTGAATGCCGTTGTGAGGGGTGCGGCGAAAAAGGCTCCCAGTGGGTTGACGTTCGAAGGGCATGACGCAGGGGCCGAGTGGCCCGTGGACAAGCAGTGGCCGACCAGACCGTTCCACTTTGCAAACTATGGGTTCACTCTTGCGGCAACGGTGTCGATCCACGAGGTGCCGAAGGGCATCACTCCCCTGATGGGCCTGAAGAAAATGGGGAAGACAACACTCCTGGGACTGTCGTACGATAATAATATGGAGTGGAGCGTGGAGCATGAGTTGTTCCCGAAGCATTTTACCGCATGGGAGCTGGACAAAACGTATCACGTGGTGCTCAAAATGCATGACGGTGTGGGCTCCGTGTACGTTGACGGGACTCTCCTTTGGAATATGAGTCTGAGAAATTCGTTCAATGAAGGGCTGGACGCGGTCTCACACTTTTACTTTGGCGCGTACGATGAGCAGTTGAGCAGCAGAAAAAACCATGCGACGGTGGCGAACGTCTTTCTGTACAACCGCCCGTTGAATGAAACTGAGATTGGCGCCCTTAACGCGAATAAAGTCACCATTCCACCTCCGAAATCAGCAGAGCCCAAACCAGCGGAGCCGAAATCAGCGGAGCCCAAACCAGCGGAGCCGAAATCAGCAGAGCCCAAACCAGCGGAGCCCAAACCAGCAGAGCCGAAATCAGCGGAGCCCAAACCAGCGGAGCAGAAATCAGCGGAGCCCAAACCGGCGGAGCCGAAATCAGCGGAGCCCAAACCAACGGAGCCGAAATCAGCGGAGCCCAAACCAGCGGAGCCGAAATCAGCGGAGCCCAAACCAGCGGAGCCCAAACCAGCAGAGCCGAAACCAGCGGAGCCGAAATCAGCGGAGCCCAAACCAGCGGAGCCCAAACCAGCAGAGCCGAAATCAGCGGAGCCCAAACCAGCGGAGCCGAAATCAGCAGAGCCCAAACCGGCGGAGCCGAAGTCAGCAGAGCCCAAACCAGCGGAGCCGAAATCAGCAGAGCCCAAACCAACGGAGCCGAAATCAGCGGAGCCCAAACCAGCGGAGCCGAAACCAGCGGAGCCGAAATCAGCAGAGCCCAAACCAACGGAGCCGAAATCAGCGGGGCCCAAACCAGCGGAGCCGAAACCAGCGGAGCCGAAATCAGCGGAGCCCAAACCAGCGGAGCCGAAATCAGCAGAGCCCAAACCAGCGGAGCCGAAATCAGCAGAGCCGAAATCAGCGGAGCCCAAACCAGCGGAGCCGAAATCAGCAGAGCCCAAACCAGCGGAGCCGAAATCAGCGGAGCCGAAACCAGCGGAGCCGAAATCAGCAGAGCCCAAACCAGCGGAGCCGAAATCAGCAGAGCCCAAACCAGCAGAGCCGAAATCAGCAGAGCCCAAACCAGCGGAGCCGAAACCAGCGGAGCCCAAACCAGCGGAGCCGAAATCAGCAGAGCCCAAACCAGCAGAGCCGAAATCAGCAGAGCCCAAACCAGCGGAGCCGAAATCAGCAGAGCCCAAACCAGCGGAGCCGAAATCAGCGGAGCCGAAACCAGCGGAGCCGAAATCAGCAGAGCCCAAACCAGCGGAGCCGAAATCAGCAGAGCCCAAACCAGCAGAGCCGAAATCAGCAGAGCCCAAATCAGCAGAGCCCAAACCAGCGGAGCCCAAACCAGCGGAGCCCAAACCAGCGGAGCAGAAATCAGCAGAGTCCAAACCAGCGGAGCAGAAATCAGCAGAGTCCAAACCAGCAGAGCAGAAATCAGCAGAGTCCAAACCAGCAGAGCCGAAATCAGCGGAGCCCAAACCAGCGGAGCAGAAATCAGCAGAGTCCAAACCAGCGGAGCAGAAATCAGCAGAGTCCAAACCAGCAGAGCCGAAATCAGCGGAGCCCAAACCAGCGGAGCCCAAACCAGCAGAGCCCAAACCAGCGGAGCCGAAACCAGCGGGGCCCAAACCAGCGGAGCAGAAATCAGCAGAGCCCAAACCAACGGAGCCGAAATCAGCGGGGCCCAAACCAGCGGAGCAGAAATCAGCAGAGTCCAAACCAGCAGAGCCCAAACCAGCGGAGCCGAAACCAGCGGGGCCCAAACCAGCGGAGCCCAAACCAGCAGAGCCCAAACCAGCGGAGCCGAAACCAGCGGGGCCCAAACCAGCGGAGCAGAAATCAGCAGAGTCCAAACCAGCAGAGCCGAAATCAGCGGAGCCCAAACCAGCGGAGCAGAAATCAGCAGAGCCCAAACCAGCGGAGCCGAAATCAGCGGAGCCCAAACCAGCAGAGCCGAAATCAGCGGAGCCCAAACCAGCGGAGCAGAAATCAGCAGAGTTCAAACCAGCGGAGCCCAAACCAGCGGAGCCGAAATCAGCGGAGCCCAAACCAGCAGAGCCGAAATCAGCGGAGCCCAAACCAGCGGAGCAGAAATCAGCAGAGTCCAAACCAGCGGAGCCCAAACCAGCAGAGCCCAAACCAGCGGAGCCCAAACCAGCGGAGCCCAAACCAGCGGAGCCGAAATCAGCGGAGCCGAAATCAGCGGAGCCCAAACCAGCAGAGCCGAAATCAGCGGAGCCCAAACCAGCGGAGCAGAAATCAGCAGAGCCCAAAACAGCGGAGCCCAAACCAGCAGAGCCGAAATCAGCGGAGCCCAAACCAGCGGAGCCCAAACCAGCAGAGCCCAAACCAGCGGAGCCGAAATCAGCGGAGCCCAAACCAGCGGAGCCGAAATCAGCGGAGCCCAAACCAGCGGAGCCCAACGCCGCGACATCCTCAGCAAGGGAGGGAACCGCAGGCCAGCCGGCATCTGCCACATCTTCCGATGGACATGAAGCCGTGACATCTGTTACATCTTCAAGCGTCGCCATTACTGATGTTGGTGCTTCCTCATCTGATGATGCACAAACGGTGGGGACGGAAGGTGGAGCTGTGATGCAGGCAGATCAACCAACCCAATTCTCTGTGGGCACCCCCGACGCAGCAAATGCAGCAACACATAACGCTGAACGCAAGGGACAAGAAGGGCTCCATCCACAGGTCAAGGAAGCAGAGGCGGCGACACTCAGCAGCAGCCTTTAAAATTCGCCGCAGCGGGATAACAGCGTTGCTGGCACTATGCGTGAGAGCGGACTGTTGCCGCCGCTTCTTCTGCTGGGGCTGTGGGGGTTTGCGGCTGCGTGAGGAGTGTGCGGCCTCAGTGTGGAGCACTTGCGACCTCCCCACCGCCGACACACACACACCGCTAGGAAAATATTTCACCTTGCAAATAACAATTTTTTTTTTCATTTAGTACTTTCCTTCTTTTGCTTTTGGGGGCAATCACTATGGACTTTTTTCTTTTTCACTTTGTTAATTGTTTCATGCTGCACTCTTCCTGTGAGGGGTGCCGTGTGTTTCCCGCCCAACTGCTCCACTCGCACACCCACCGACACGCTCATGACGACGGCCCTGTGCGCCTCGCCTGATGCACGCATGAGGAGGGGCCGCGACGAATGGCGCGCTGAGGGAGCCGTGACGTGTGGGCGCGCGACGAGGGCCTGTGGGGCGGAGCACACATTTTTTTCCCTTTTGTTTTGTTTTTTTTATTGCCAGGGCGGGCAGACACCCGCAGCGCCACACACAGAGCCACACCCTGCCGCCGTGTTTTTCTTTAAGGATTTGTTTTTGCTTCGCGTGTGCATTTCACGCGCTGGCAGTCCCTTTGGGGTCGGCCTCGTGAGCAGTTCTCCCTCCTGATGTGTTTTTTTTTTCTGCTTTCACTCCCCCGATGGAGAGATGCGACTCCCGTCATGTCTGCGTGCCTCTCTTACCCTCTACACACGAGTGACTGTGCTCTGCGGGCCGCACTCACACGCCGATGAGAGGGCTGAGGGGAGCAGCAACACGTAGATGACCCCCATGAAATATAAACGATGTGCGGACACACATGGAGGTCGGACGGTTGAAAGACACGTAATTATTTAATTTTTAATTTGTGGGCTAAATGTACAAACAGTTTGGTGGGCCAGACGGTAACTGGGTGATTTTTTTTCCTTTTTTAGGACTAAAAGCAATGGAGGACGACTTCTTTCTTGCTTTTTTTTTTATATAATTACTTTGTGCGGGCTGGAAATATAATGATGAAAGGGGAAGTTTTTTTTTTTTTGGTAATTGTTTTAAATAAATCTTGTATGACTCGCCACTGCTTGGGCTGCGGTGCAATCGTGAGTTTGAGCAGTCTTGTTATTTCTACCATGCGGCTCTGCTGTACATTTTGTTTTTGCGTTTCTTCACATGCTCCGTTTCTTTTTTTACTTCTTTACCTCGTGTTTATTCAGGCACGCACAAGCACACGCACACAGAGTGCAAATCACAGTGGATTCTGATGCTTCTTTTGCGGTGCGTGTGGCAGCTGCATGTGGGTGCTGCTTTTACCCGTGGGCATGAAGCGAAGGGAGGAGAGAGGCAGCGCGCAGGGCGAGTGTCTCTTCCTGATGGTGTGGGGGCGCTGCGTTGTGACCGCATGGAGTGAGGCGCCGCGTCGTGGATGGGTGAGGATCCGCTTCTGCGTGTGGCTCTTTGGGTGATTGCTTGCTCCGTGTGCGTTGTGTTTGTTGGCTGCGGGGCTGTGGCCGTATGCCGTTGGCCGTGGGATTGAACTGGAGGCGGTGGCGGTGTGTCTCTTCTCTTCCCCTTCCATTGTGTGTGGCTGCTGGCGGTGTGTGCGTTTGTTGTGTGGAGGGCCGAATCCTCTCACCCGCGGACTGACAGCGCTGCGATGGTGTCTGTGTGTGTCAGAGGGCTGGTGTGGGCGATGGTCCTCCGTGCTGCCCGTTCCGGATTTTCTTTTGTCCCGCTCTCTGCGTGGGTGCTCTGCTCTGCTCTCTACTGACGTGTCTGATGTATGGCTGCTGTTGCTGTCTTTTCCACCTCACGCACGCAGGCACGCTAGGGGGGAAAACAAGCGCGAATCGCTACTGTGTACTCCGAAAGGACCAACAACAGACACACCGTCCACACACACATATTTGTATGCTCTCACGTGTTGCTGCTGTCATGGCACCCCGCACACACAACCGTCGCCGCGTGACCGGATCCAGCGGAAGGAGGAGGGAAGGAAGAGAGAGTGAGCCGCCGAGGTTCAACATGTCCCGGCGTGTGTTTACCTCCGCGGTGCTGCTCCTCCTCGTCGTCATGATGTACGGCAGCGGTGGGACTTCGAACGCCGTGAAGAGTAATTCGGGGAATGCGCAATTGCCTCATACGGTCGATCTATTTTTGCCGAATCAGACGCTGGTTGTACCGAAAGGCGGAACGTCTCAAGAGACGAAGAGGGATGCATTTGCTTCACCCTCTCTCGTCAGTGCTGGTGGAGTAATTGCTGCTTTCACCGAAGGCCTCATGTATGCCGAATATGTCGTTGAAGGTGGTAAAGTAATTGAGCCCATTTCTTCTGATTTTGTTGCGGAGTACATTGACTCCTCGTGGGATTGGTCCACACTTGTTGGCAAGGTGAGTGAAAGTACATGGAAGGCACACACCGTGCTTGGTCCAACGGATGGAACGGATAATCGTGTGGGTGTTTTTTACCACCCCACAACCACCACGAAGGGCAATAAGGTGTTTCTTCCTGCGGGAAGCCTTGCTGAGCTCAAGGAAAGTGATGGGAAGAAGAAATGGGACAACTTTGAGCTGAAACTGGTTGTGGGTGATGTGAGGGAGCCTACGAGCAGCGAGCTGACTGAACGTATCAAATGGGGCCAGATCAGGTCTCTGTTGAAAGAGGGTACTATAGCTGCACACGAAGGTAAATTGGAGTTTGTTGCCGCTGGTGGCTCAGGTGTTCTGATGGAGGATGGCACGCTTGTGTTTCCACTGATGGCGAAGAGCGGAAATGGTGACGTTTACTCCATGATCATTTACTCAACGGACAACGGCAGTAATTGGGTGCTCTCGAAGGGCGTTTCCCCTGCGAAATGCTATAACCCCCGCGTCACCGAATGGGAGGGTTTACTTCTCATGATTGTTGACTGCGAGGATGAACAGAAGGTTTACTAGTCGCGTGACATGGGGACAACGTGGACGGGAACCATCGGGACGCTCTCAGGCGTGTGGGTCAACTCACGATCATTCTTTTGGGATCTGAGCTTGCACGTGGATGCCCTCATCACCGCGACCATTGGGAAAAAGAAGGTCATGCTGTACATTCAGAGAGGGAACTCCTCGGGGAAGAATAAGGCCAATCCGCTCTACCTTTGGGTGACGGACAACAACCGCTCGTTTTACGTTGGACCGGTTGGCATGGACAATGCTGGGGAGAAGGAGCTTGCCAGCACCCTGCTGTACTCGGATGGCAATCTGCATCTTTTACAACGGAGGGGCAATGGTGAAGGCAGTGTCATCTCACTCTCCCGCCTGACGGAGGAACTGAAGGAAATCAAGTCCGTCCTCAGTACTTGGGCGCAAAAGGACGTTTTCTTCTCCAGGTTTTCTATACCCACGGCGGGTCTGGTGGCGGTATTGTCCAACGCATCGGCCAACAACGGCACGTGGATCGACGAGTACCTTTGCCTGAATGCGACGGTGACGAACGCAAGGAAGGTCGAGGATGGATTGCAGCTGACGGAGCCTAACTCCGGGGTAATTTGGCCTGTGAACATTCCGGATGATAATGTGCGTCATATATCCTTGAGCCACAACTTCACACTTGTGGCGTCGGTGACAATCGAAAAGGCTCCGAGTGAGGACGCTCCTCTACTGGGTGCGATGTTGGGGGACACTAATTCCCCGCATACCATGGGAATCTTGTATACCGCGGATAGAAAGTGGATGACGGTGCTCAAAGACAAGAAGACAACAAAAAGTGGCACTTGGGAGGCGGGGAAAGAATACCAAGTGGCACTCATGCTGCAAGGCAACAAGATCTTTGTGTACTTTGATGGCAAGTTGCTGGGGGAAGAAGAATTGCCGTTAAAAAGTGAGAGGCCACTTGAGCTCGTAAGCTTTTGCTTTGGCGCGTGCGGTATACAAAACTTTCCTGTGACGGTGGCGAACGTCTTTCTGTACAATCGCCCACTGAATTCCACTGAGATGACTGCAATCAAGGACAGGAAACCCGAAGATAAAAAAGGAAGCGGTGACGGCTCCATGCGTGAGAGTATGTCTCGGGTGCTCCCGCTGCTGCTGCTGGGGATGTGGGGCATTGCGGCCCTTTACTGAGAAATCGCAGTGAGGAGTTCCTGCCACCAGCGGGAGCTATATGTGCCTCTCCACGTACCCTCCGAAATAATTGACTTTTGTGTGGATGCAACTTTTGTTTTATCTGTTTTTATTATCGATTGGACTACTCCTTTTTGCCTGTGTAAGTCGTTGTGTAAATGGCGCGCTCTTCCTCCCGGGACTGCATCGCGGGGCCTGTGTTTTTTTTTTCTTACATATATATTATAGTGGAATATTTTGGGATTGGCGGGATGTCTTTGATGTTTCCGTCGGCCGATGACACGTGCAATCGGCATTGAGCGCCACGACGATGGTGCTATGAAAAAAAGGGATTTAAGATGTGCAGCAACGCACTGAATGTCCCAATGAAATGTGGGTGTTGTGTGGACACCAGGGGGCTGAACGGCTGAAGTAAATATATTTTTACTTTTGCAGAAAGAATATACACGTGTTTTTTCTTTGTTTCTTTTGCGTCACGATGTTTTTCTTTTTTCTTTTTTTGCTATATTTCTATGGGTGTGGAAACTGCTTCAAGGAAACTTTTTTTTTTTTTTTTGTGAGCGTGAAAAACTTTTTCAAGGGGACTGTTTTTGCGTTTTAATTTCTTTAAAAATTTTTTTTTTTGTTTCTTTAAGCGTATTGTGGGTTGCCGTGCCATCTCGAGCCTTATTGGCCTTCTCTTTTCCTCCTTGTCCGTCCTGCACCTCTGTTGCGTGTTTTTCTGCCCTTTCACGTGCGTGGCTCTCTTTTTTTTTTTTTGTGCGTTGCTGTGGGTGATCCCTGCGGGGCGCGGGGTCTTAAAACAAAGTTGTCCGAGGGCTCACCTGTAGGCACGATGGCCGCAGCGTGTAGCTTTCACTCTTTTCTCTCGGGAAATATGC